CATATTGTAATTTTTCAAAAGAAAAAAACAGTAATAACGGTAAACAAATACAGAAGTGGTTAGTGTACAGGGTGTTTGAAAAAAAAGATAAAAAATTGGGGGGGGGGGTTCCCTAGATAAAAATAAAAAAAGTCTTTTTTTTTCAAAATTATCTCAGTATCTGGTGACGTAAATTTACGAAAGTTTATATCAAAAATTGTGTGCCTTAGATTAGGGTTAATCTATTTAAGGCGTAAAATTTTGCTTTGGAAGAAGTTTTCTGAAATTTTTTGACAGATTTGGGTTTATTGGTTAATTTTCTTCAAAAAGTGTCTTTTATGTTATTAGAAGATAGATTTAACTCTTAATTTTTTTATATAAAGCCGATTTAGCCCTTTTAGGAAGCATAAATCAACACAAAACAGTTCATCTTCTGTGTTTTATTTTTGAATTTAAAAAAAATGTTCAAACAGAATGTTTTGAAGTATCTGAGACCATAAATCCTTTTCTATTGAAGTATAGCTCAATTTTGGAAGAACATTGATTGTAATAGAAAAATTAAGCATCCCTCGACATTAAAAGTAATTTTAAGATCGCAAGCACAGAATAAATGGGAAATTCCAAATTTATATTTAGAATCATAGTTATTATTATTTAAGTACATTATTTTCAATGGGTGCATCCTCCCTGATGCATCAATGTAGTCGGCGCCCATGCTTTGAATATCTTTTCTTGAATAAAATTCCAATATTGACCTAGACAGTGTTTTAGCTAAAACACTCTGTATTTTACAAGAACACATTATTTGGCTCTGTGAAACGTTTCAAGTTGTGTTTATCTCTGCGCTTTCTGCATTTACAAACAGAAACGACTTTTAATTATTGAAAATAAGTAATTTTTTCTATATTCTTGAATTGAATAGTGCAATTTTTATTAAAAATAATACACTCTATTGTTAAATTTGAAAAAAAATTGGAAACAATTAAAAAAAGACTTTTTTGAAAATTTGGTACTGAATACAGCTGGGGGGTATCAACTTTTTATTAATGCAATTAATTTGAGATGAG